AAATATAAACATAATAGGTACATATTAATTGTTTAAATTAGTTATTATTGATTTTTTTGTTTTAAAATTATATATTTTTTAATTTGTAATTTTAATGAATTATTTTTTTTAAATTAAATTGGAATTATTGTTATACTAATAATTAATACTAATGTGATAGCCTGTTAAAGTTAGCAAGTTGTAACTACCTATAATTAAAAGTGCAATTATCATGATAAATTATATGTAACCTAAGTTTAAGTATTATAATATTGTAACTTTTGTTGGTAGTTCAATAAAAAGAAAAAATAAATAAATGTGTTTGTTTGTTTGTCCTTCTTTCACGTCGAAACGGATTGCCGGATTGGCGTGATTTTTTGAGTGGAGATAGTTGGAGAGCTGGAGAGTGACATAGACTACTTTTTACCGCGGGAGATTATCTAATTCCTACAAGAAAACACGTTATAATAAATAAATACGTCTTTTTGCATTTTTCGAAATTCATCCGAGGGTAAAATATGGGATGAAAGTTCTTTTGAAACTAACTTTCTTGGGATTTTTTCTAGGCTTAGTGCGAGCGAAGCCACGGGTTCTGCTGGTATTATATAAGTTAAAATGATAGGTATATGGTAAATATGTATAGCTTTAATTAAAGTTCTACGAAAAAATCGTAGTACCATCGTCCATAAGTACGTAACTTTTATAGCCGAGCAGATAAAGTTAAGCAGCTATATAATAGTTAAAAAACTGCTTGGACTAAAATAATCATCCTTATAAAGATAATTTATGCCATCATCAAAATTACAAAACAGAGATAAAATCTGTCTATTACGATATGTCATTTGGTTGTATAGTATATAGTATTAAATTATTATCAATCTAAACGCCGCTAGAATACGCTTCGGTTTATAGACGTACTTTAACCGCAATTTTTAGTTTAAATTATTTGGTCTCAAGTCATGAACTAACTTAATTATTAAAAATCCTTACGCCTATCATGGGATATTAAATAGCAGGTAGTGTAACGTATACAATGGTACAAACCTATTGTCCAACCCTAATAATTTTTAGATTTGATTATGGTGAAATCATCAAAAAATCTTTCTGTAGATCGCGTGGCGAAGTCGTGGGCAAAGCTGTGACATTTTAAACACAAAAATTATATAAGAACGCTAAACGATGGCAGCTCGCTATTCTACGTATAAAAGAAACAAATATTACAATACTAGCGACTCGCCGACTCGCACGTAATATATAAGTAGGTATATACATATCGATGGGTGCCTGGAACAAGACCGCAATAGCCATAGTAGCTGTTTTCCGATTAAGCCATTTTCGTAATCTACGGACCCTATTACACCTTGTGGATTTTTTTCATTAATTAATAATGAAAACTGCCTGAGATAGCAAAAGCAGTATGGATATTCTCTCGTTATTCCCCGTTCATCGTTCGAATTTTGTTTGCCGGAATAATCGTGCTATGTGCAATGATAAAAGTTTTTTTCAACCTTCTACAACTAACGTCCACTGCGGCTTTGTTGGCCCGAAATAAACTTAGTATACCGATTCACAATAAACATTGCTGTACAAATATTTTAAACTTTCACTAGTAATAGTAATTATGGTTTTCTTACATGAAATAAAAATATGTCGATTGATTTTCAATAAACAGTGCTATGTGTATGTAATCTATGTACTGTTTTTCTCACATTAGTTTTTAAATATCAAGTGTGTTTATCAATATGCCTGCCTAAATGCCTGCCAGATAATATTGAATAAGTAGTTATTATATTATTATTGTTGTGACACATCACATAAGTGCATCTTAAAGTAATAAAATATTATATTATTATTATTTTTGTATGTATAGTAAATGAAAACTACCAATCAGTATTTTTTTTACTTTTTAGTGCTTTTTTTAAGTCGGTTTTTATTTTTTTGTTAAAAAGTTTTTATTTTTTCCTTCTTAGTGTAGACATAGTAGTAGCAAAGTGAGAAGAAAGTATTTTAATAAAATATTTTTGCTTAAACCGTTTAAGATACTTTGATGCTAATTTTAATATGAAGACTGACAAATTAAAATTCACTTTTATTATTAACACTAAAAATTCTGGCTCTAAAATCTGATTTTAACGTGTTAGGCTTGTCAAATCAAACAAAATAAGCCCAAACTCAAAGTACTATTAGTCGTTACTTTACTATTAGCCGTTGAAGAGTTCCACCTATCTACCTTCTGGCCTTACCATCAGATCAGGTCAACGATACCGAACCACTGCACTATCAACAGAAATAGAAGCACTTGCAAAGTTTCAAGTCAATATAATAATTAGAAGTAGGTTAAATTCATCATTAGGTATTTTTCCACCCTTAGTGGCGTTATATTTTTTGAAATTTAAAAGGTACCAATCTGGAAGTATACACTTTCAAACAAAACAAAAATTGTCCAAATCGGTTAATAAATGACGGAGTTCTGAGGTAACAAACATAAAAAAAACATACAGCCGAATTAAGAATCTCCTCCTTTTTGAGGAAGTCGGTTGATAAAAATATCTCCATCAGAAATATTAAAAGTAGATACCATACTATTAGTTTAAGCACACCCAAAACACAAAAAATCAAATTAGAAATAACGAAGAAATGGGGTATTTTGTGGGTATAGAATAAAAATCCCCTCGAGAACATAACTTTCAGATTAATTATAACTCTGACACTACAAGTTAAACGTTGAGTGTAAATAACCAGGAGAACAACGAGGGGTCACTGTATCAATAGAAGATATACTCGTAGTACTTGCCGAAGATACACATTCTAGATTTAATGTCTCTTGTCGATGTCAAGGTAGTCTCGGAATTAGATACTACTTTAAAACCAGAGAATATTACAGTTTCCGACTCAAGTCAAACATTGTTATGCAATTTAGGTAGAATTTCACAAGATAATGATTCTTGTTCTATCTTGAACCCCGTGGTCCATAACATCTCATCACTAATTCTGCCCTCTGCAAAAGAACTACGAAATAGCACAATAAGTTATTTACAAAATATTGAGACTTATAATAATATTATTATAATGCCATTATTTGTCAGACGCACTTGCAATGAATGACATAGTTAGTGGCGAGAAATATAAAGTGATAGAGATGGATCAATCTGTCTTTGTCGATATAAAAATGCTTATTGAAGGCCGAAATTGGACGCATGACTCTGAGGGAAATAAAATATTGTGGTCCAATATTATGGAAGTTGTTGCGGGTACTCATGAGGGTATACTGAACTTAAAATACAGTTTTGAAGATGATTATATTATGGAGTTTCACACGCGTACGGAGTTACACACACAGGGAGCTACAATGGACCACAACTGGTCGACGTAGTTATTGCCGACCTCGGCACCACTTCCAATAAAATATAATAAATAATATACACACTCGTGATCTACCAGCCAGCTTTCCTACTCAAGGCGCCCGGGTACGGTGGACGCACAGGAAGTGGAAGTTCACGAGGTGCACAAATACTCCGTGCTGCTGCTACTCCTACTGCTGAAATTCCAATCGTTTCCAAGCTGCAAAGGGCTTAACAATGAACCATTTCCTGTGCCTAAAGCCTTGCACTCAGACTTATTAAGTCTTTGTAAAAATTATGACATACCACGCCACTACCATGATTTTTATGAGATTTTGGCATGCGAAACTGTTGAGGATGAAGTACTCGTAGCAGAACATTATTCCCAAGAAGACACACCATTTATTTATGGATAATTTTGTTATTTCTTTTTGATACATACCGTCAAAATTAATACTTTAATACATTTAAGATCGTAGAAATGTAAATAACCGGAAGACTATGTTATTGTTCTGGTAAATAGGTATATTGGTATTTTTTCTTATGACTTAATTATGCTGTGTCCAAAACTTTAAGTAAAAATAATAAATACATAATAATAAATAATTACGATATATTCTAGATTGATTGTAGTCATTCCAAAACAACCATATTCATATAATGTACACAGCATTCACAAGTACATTTTCCAAGTCGATCATTAAATTCATGTAACATCACTGCAAAACGCTATTACTGTATTCGCCATACATCCTCCAGATCAGCGTACAACGTTGCAATAGACTATTGCTGTCTGATTAATTTTGCACTTTTTACCGGAATAAAACCACAATGGATTCTTACGGAAACGACATTCAATGTATGAAGCGGCAATATGATTTTTTACTTGTTTTTAGGTATTTCCTTAGATTTATAAGCTTATGTACATTATATATCCGTCCAGAAAAAAATAACGCATCTTTTGATATATAAATCGTTTTGATGAGCCTCGTAGTTTAGTAATTATTAATGATTTTCACTAAATCTTTTTTCCTGTAAAATTGTATTTTGTCGATTGCGGCTTTGTTCCAATAACCCATCGATATTATGTATAGAAAAGTAGGTAGGTACAAAAAAAATATGTCTATTACTTCAGAAATTGTTGATTCCACATAGAAACTTAACCCCCCCTTCGCCCCTCTCCCCTTAAGGTGTGGTTTCCGTGATAAAAAGTATCCTATGTCCTTCCCGGGGTCTCAAAGTATCTGCATACCAAATTTAAAAGAAAAAAAGGAAAAAGACAACAGGTAACAGACAGACAGATAAACAGACAGTTGCTTTCGCATTTATAATATAAGTACGGATGAGGATGGTCACAGCCAAATGGATCAGATACAATATAAGAATATAAGATGCGGATCGCGGATCGACAGACAGCTGAATTAGAATTTAATTCAGATGTAAATAAAAAAAGATTTGTTTCTTATCAAACATCTCATTATCTCAATAATACTTAAGATTATAAAATAGTTATATGACATTACAACGTTATTACTATGATCTCATGTTATTGTATAATTCCTAATTTTGTTGTTACAGCTGAAAGTGTTTTATTACACTATATATACAATTAAATTTATTTAGAACAGCTCTATCTCTGCTTGTGACTAAAGCGCACCTAAATAGAATCAAGTTAGAAATATGGAATCTCTCACAAATCAAGCAGCAGACATTGAAAACAAAAATGTTATCAGCAAAAATAAAGGAAAAGAGCAAGATTCTTTAAAAAATGACTTTAATAACCTTTTATCTGTGGCGGGTGAATTTGGACTATACCAAGTACTACTATTTTTATCAACGTGTCCATTTTTCATTTTTGGTGCGTTTTCATACTGTACGCAGCTTTTCATGACTGAAGTGCCATCCAATCATTGGTGCAGGGTTCCGCAATTGGAACATTTGACTGATATTGAACGGAGATCTTTGGCTATACCACCGGATGAAAGTGATAACTTCGGATATTCACATTGCACAATGTATGCAGTGAATTGGAGCTCGGTTTCTGAGATGAAACCAAATATGTCATGGCCTATTGAACCTTGTAAATACGGTTGGGAATTTAATAAAAGTGAAATTCCGTATCCAACAATTTCCACTGAAATGGAATGGGTATGTGAAAAAGACAATTATCAAGCGATAGCCCAAGCTATATTCTTTGTCGGATCTATAGTGGGGGGACTAGGTATTGGCTGGATAGCTGATCATTTTGGTCGACTACCAGCTGGAATTCTCGGCAATTTAATTGGATGCATCGCAGGGACGTCTAGCATATTTACGAGAAATATCACAGAATTTAGTATATGTAGATTTTTTATGGGCATGTCCTATAACACTTGTATGATAATGATATGTTTGCTGGTTATAGAATACACAGCTCCAAAATATAGAAACATAGCGGCAAATTTGCCAGTAAGCGTGTTTTTCACTCTGGGCATGATTACTTTGCCGTGGATAGCTCTTGCTTGCGAAAATTGGAGAACTTTATCTTTAGTGACAAGTGTGCCTATGGCCATATCGCTACTAGCCCCAATTGTTATACCTGAGAGCCCAACATGGTTACTTTCCCAAGGCCGAATCGACGAAGCAGTAGAAAAAGTTTTGACGATAGGTCGAATCAATAAAAAGAAAATTCCCAGAGAACTAATAGAAAAGTTCAAATTATCTGCAACTAAATTAGATACTGAAAAAAGTGCTAGTGTTTTGAAAATATTTCGAAGACCTATTTTGCGGATGATTTTATTTTTGGTGTCTTTAGAATTTATGTGCTGTACTATAATATTAGATGGGTTGCTACGGAGTATCGGGACATTGGATTTTGATTTCTTTTTATCATTTACACTTTTGTCATTTCCACAGTTTCCATCTCTACTTATTGCATCTTTTACTTTAGATTTGACTGGTAGAAAATGGATAACAGTTATAATGATGTTTTGTTGTTGTATTTTTAGTATTTTAATAGCACTAGTACCTAGCGGTTGGTATTCAATATTATGTGCTATTGTGGCAATATTTTGTGTATATTTAAGTTATACAGTGACTTTGCAATGGGCAGCAGAAATGTTACCAACTTGTGTAAGAGGATTTGGCTCTTCCATTGTCCAAATTTGTGGGTATATTGGTACTGTCATATCACCTTTTATTGCGTATTTGAAAGTATATATTACTGTACTGCCTCTAATAATTGTTGGTATCATAGCTGCCATTGGGACAGTTGCTGCCTTGTTTTTACCAGAAACTGCTGGTAGAAATATGCCTGAAACATTTGAAGAAGCAGAAGATTTAGTCAAAAATCAGAAGTTTTTTCATATTCCATTTTTACGAAAATCATAGTTATATTTAATAAAGTATAGTTAATAAGTAAATCTAAAGGGTATTTCTCAGCGCCTTAAATTTTCGATTTCTGGAGGTTTATCTCCGTAACTAGCTATTAAAACGGACTGAAATATTTTTAATGCGCCTTAGACTACTATCTAACTTGGACCAATTCCGTTTGTAATATAATTTAATAATTGCATTCTAAATATAAAAAAATCGTTTGAAACTCGTTCTTCTGATTCATATGACGTGTCCGTTCCCCATTTTTTTGAACAAAATTATAAATAACGCGTTATCTTATTGAAAAAACAATATAAATTATAATCACATCGAAAGAAGATTAGTTATATTTTAACAAAAAAAAATGTTTGGTTATATCTACGTTAGTTTACTTATTATAAATAAAGAAATAAAAGATGTCCGGCATAAAATTCTGATTAATATGGCACGCGCTTCACTCGATCGTACTCGGCGAAATACAAAAAGTGAGGTAGTCTGTTGTGCGACGAACGGGCTCAAAGGTAGACGTTCGGCCAGGTCAGCGTCGATCAGGAGATAAAAAAGCAAGTATTTGATTCATATGTTCATGATTCAGGTGGGTTTCTGATTAATATGTCTAGTTTACAAATTATGTTACAGAGTTTTAAAACTTGAATCTATACCCCAAAAAATACGTTAGAGTTATATATTTTTGTGGTTAAATGCGAATACCGATTTTAATATATGTCACGGGTAATCGAAGATTTTAGGTCAAATTCTGATTTATCTGGGTCTGATTCATGCGATCAAAAACCCATATGAATCATAAAGTAGTACATTTTGTTAAAGTTATTTATCATACAATCATCATTAAGATCAGGTCCTAAGCATCACGACACCGTGACTGCGACACAGCGACAGAAAAAATGATATAATATATAGTATAGGATATCACATTGACGGATGCAATGCAAATAGCCATAGCTGTACTGATGATATGGTACTGCTCAGTCCATCAATTAGATGGTTGCAGAGGCTCCTTTCTATTTGTGAAAAATATGTTAAAAGTCATGGTTTACTTTACAATAGTAAAACTCAGTTACTATGGTATTTAAATATAAAAATGGATCTGACTATTACCTGACGTTGTTCTAAATAATATTAAGGTTGATCGTGTTATAAAATTTAAATACCTTGGACATGTAGTAAATGAAATATTAACAGATGAGGACAAAATAGAGAGGGAACGTAGAGCATTGCCGATGCGTAGAAACATGTTGACCAGGTTTTCAATGATTCTTCTTTTCTTTTCAAATGTTAAGACTGCCTAGATATTGTAGTCGTAGATGTTCTGCGAGGCACACACTGATGGTTTTGTTGCTGTCATAAGAAAGAGGATCGCATGTCTGAGACAGAGGATAAATGACAGCATAAATTCTATCATGAAAGCTGTAGAAGATTTTGGGCCAAATTTCTCCAGACATAGATTAAAGGATTTTTCATATTATGTTTTAGTTTAAATGTTTAATTTTATTTATTGTTCTTAATGTAGGAAACCTTTGTATTTATTTTATTTAGTTTATAATATAATTTTAGTTTTATTTACCTACTTTTCAAATTGTGTGGAAAAGGGTCCGAAATAAATATTTATTATTATTGTTATTATTATAAAATTAATAAATAATAAAAAAAGTTATAATTAATAAAAAAGAGTAATATTTTATTATACAGGCTTAGTTTGTTTTTGTTTTTATTCTTGTTTCTGATTCACATGTCACGAATTTTGATTCATATGGGCCCTTAAAAATTCAAGTTAAATAATATCTCAAAAATTATTCGATTAAAATGAGTGTGTAATTCAAATATATGTTATTTGGCATGTCTTTAATCATAAGAGTATGTTGAATAGAGCCAAAAGTGAAAATAATTTTTAGCCAGATAAATCAAACAAAGAACGCAATCTCGGAGAAATACCCTAAAACTCAAAAAAATATATAATGAAAGAAAATTAAGGGAACTATTTAATCAAAAAGTAACTTTGAATGTTTATACAAATTACATATTTTACTAATTTTGTAATTATTTTAATGTTATTAATGCAATATTAGATATAAATCACAATTCTCAGGATGTAAACTTCAAATAATGTTCATTAAAAGTTTCTGCAACTTTTCATGAAATTCGGCTTCTTTTTCTTCCCATATTGTAAATCTTAAAAATAATTTACTAGTCATATTACGAGTATATTGATTAGTAACCAATCATTATATTATATAAACTTAAAAGAAATTTATTTAATACTAACGAGTTATCCGCGCTTCGCTCAGGTGCATCCCTAGGTTAGTTTTAATTTTTTTGGGCGGAACTTTAATCTTTTTTCTTAAGTAAAGTAGCCTAACTTACTCCTTATAACATTAGCTATCTGCCAGTGAAAGTCCCGTCAAAATTAGTATAGCCGTTTCGGAGATCAATCGGAACAAACAGACAGATAAACAAAAAAATTATAAATTATTTTTTTCTTATAAGTACCATATATAATTTCATATGCATTTAGTAATGTTAGTGCAACGAGTGCTTGAAAATAGTGCACAGATTTAGTCAAGTCAAAATTGTGCATTTCCTGGGGGTTTCGCGAACGCCTATAAGTAGCTCTCGTAATTTTTCGTTGATTTATCGATCATAGAACTCATACAATGAAATAAATATATAAAGTATTCGCATCTTACATTGTAAGTAAGTAACCCATACGTTAATCTAGTCTCCAACTTAAAATTCATTTATACCTGTTGTTCTGTCATTATGTGAAGAAATAACAAACAAACACTGACAAAATCTTGCTTTTATATTGTTTTAGAAGAATTTTGCGTTAAAAATGAATTAAAATATGATATTACTAGCACTGCCCGCGGCTCCGCCCGCGTTCAGATGACCAAAAACCAAATTCTTAGGTTTTACATATTAGTATACTCTTACATTGCAGTTTTTGTATTTTTTTCTCAGAAATGCGATATTTTCCCGCGGTAAAAAGCCGCTGTTGACCCGAATAACCAGCTATCATCATATCAAATTTCATCAAAATCTGTCCAGTGGTTTTCTCGTGATGCGGTAACAGACAGATAGACGGACGGACGGACGGACAGACAGACAGACAAAAATTCTAAAAACTTTTGATTCGGACACTGTATCGATAATAATGTCTATTTCAATTAGATTTTCCAAAAATATTTAATGTACAGATTCGGCTTAGTTAGAATTTTATTATATGTATAGACTACAAAAATAAGAAATGTAAAATCTATCTCAATTGAAAAATGCAAGCGGCCTCTAAACGGCTAAACGACGTCACAGTTTACTTCCGTTCATCGTTACGTTACTGGATCCCGGAAAACGGCATAAATAGATCCATTTCCTGTTACTAGCCCTTTTATCTCATTTCTTTTGAATCAAATTGCCTCTATTTACTTTTATGCAAAAATTAATGGAGTGTAACGTGTAATATGTCTCTCGTTGCCGAACTGTATAATTGTATACAAAATTTTATCCAAATACGAATAACCTTTTAAGCATAAAAAAAGTTACAAACACAAACATACAAAATTTTACGTTTTAATAGTATTTCAACCATAAAATAATATTTTTCTTATCTATACTAATACCTATTATAAAGAGGCAGAGTATGTTTATTTGTTTGATCGCGCTAATCTCAGGAACTACTTATCCGATTTGAAAAATTCTTTTTGCATTAGATAGCCCGTTTATTGAGGAAGGCTGTAAGGCTATATATCATCACAGGAAAATGTAAGGTTCCTGTGGGATAGATTTGTTTTGATCTAGGGACGAACCGGAAGTGAAGCGAGGGTGAATCGCTAGGCAATAATATAAGAAAATACGATATCGGCAAACCTATATTAAAGTCATTAAGTCTTAACTGCACTTGCACTTAGGTCTATTTACAGCAATATTGGATTTTCATTAAGATATCCGTGACTGCATTTTATTAACAGGCTTTTATAGTTTTAAAGGAATTTATTCCTACTCTATCCATCTTTAGTTTGCAATTTATAATAAATTATTGTTTAAATTACAATTTAAATATTAATATTAGTTTACTATATACTCCTATTTATTATTTTAAACAAAACTACCTTTTCGAGTTATTTCGCGGATTTATTTTGATTTTTGGTTCCCAACGCTTCGAATGCTTTTCAGCAATCATGGTCACGGGAGAGACATGCGAGGCATTCGAAATGTCGGGAAACAAAAATCAAAATAATTCTGCGAAATAATTCGAAAAGATAGTTTAATTTAAAATTTCAAATATTCGCGTAAATCTAAGATAGTATTGTTATATATTATAAGGTTTTAGTCGCGGTTCCTTTGAAGCGCGCTGTAAAACGATACAAAAAAAACTTCTGCGTAAGAAAGAAGCGAAGATTATAATCCACTCAATTCAGATATTGATAGATACAAACAGACAGACAGACATTATAAATAGCTTTTAACGGTTTGTTCTAAAAAAACATCAATATGAACTCAATATGAAATTTTAATTTTATTTTTAAGTAATTAATATATTTAATATGAAAATAATAAAAATGTGGTTTAAATCGGTAAAATATAATAATAAGTGAGAAATAAAGGAGTTTAATATCGAATGATGATCGTAAGTAGATTATGGTCGAGTATTTATTGCTGGATGAGATAATTACCTTCCGCGTGCAATAATATCGATGCAACTTTAATACTTTAGGATAAACTAGTGATTTACCCCCGCTTCGCTCGGGTGCATCCCTAGGTACGTTTTATATAGATGTGAATGGTTATTGCGAGTGTACCTTAGGAGATATATATATATATATATATATATATATATATATATATATATATTTGTGACTTTTTTGTAGGTTTTTTAAGATCCACAATTTTAAAGTACATTATTTTCATGTATCTCTTTAGTATGTTTTTAGGAAGGTTTAGCTAGCGATAACCAAATTTTCTAAGGTTGATTCAATGGAACCTGTTATTAGGTGTGT